GCCAAAATGGCCGTGAAGGTGTGGCATCTTGTGCCTCAGCCCGCCCTCACTCATGCGTAGTTGGTGGCATTCCCGGAAACGGCCATCTTGACCGACACCCTTGCCAACTGTTCACCTCCGTCATGCAAGTACCTCTGGACGGCACTGCTCGACCACCGGCCCTGGCGCTTTACCAGTTCAATCTCTCCAGTGCTCTGAAAGAGGGCCGTGGCGCCACCGATGCGCAAACTGTGGCTCATGAAGTGCTCTGGCGGCAGGCCAACTCCACGCGCTGCCTGCTGCAAGAGCGATTGCACCTCCGTCCTCTTCAAGACACTGCCATTGGCCCACCTAAAAAGTGGTTTCAAAGCATCTCCATGGGTCTTGATGAACCGCGTAGGCCAGGCCTTCTTCATGCGTAGCAGTGCCTCCACTGGGCATAAATGGTGCACCCCTGTGCTCTTCAAAGTTTTACTCTCGCCGAAGCACAGCTGATCCGTCTTGGTCTTGCGGAACTGCATCGTGACCTCATTCGCAGTGTTGTCCTCAACCGCAATCGCGTCCTTGGTGAAGCGCAAGTCGACACCCCTCAGCACCATGTCCTCGTCGACGCCATTGCTGTCACAGTATTCCTTTGCTCGCAGCATATAGAACCACGCCGTAGTCATGGAAGCCTGGATCATAGCGGCATCCGCAAAGGCTGGACACTCCGGCGTCAAAGGGTCGACCAGGTGGTTACCCAGCCATACCAGCATCTGAGGCGTCACTCCAAGGTGGCGAGGTTTGTGCACCATCCGACGGTCCATAGCCCGCACCAAGATCCACAAGCGGCACATACCTTCAGTCGGGTCACCTGCTCCTGCTCGTTTATGACCGTCCTTCACCGCAAAGATGGCCTGATTGAGCGTGGCTGCCGATGCCCCAAGCCACCCGAGGTAGCCGATGAATCCCAGCAACGTTCTCATTCTCCACCGGGTCACCTTTGCGGTTGAGATACTCCGACTCCCATCCATGGCGCCGAACCCAGGCCTTCCACTTCTCCCACGAACCCGCATAGGCTCTTTCGGTGCTCGTGGCCTTCGCACCTTCCATACTTTCTTCAATCCATTCTTCCACCCGATTTGCCACTTGACCGTCGAAAGGACGAGGCCGGCGCACCCCCAATGGTCTGTGTAGCTCCTTTGCGCGGACGTCCTCCGGCGTACTGCGACCCCTCCTCCGACTCGATGTCCAGCATGTTGAGCCACCAGCTTTCGACCCAGCAAATGATGTGTCGCACCGATTGGCCACCTGCCCTTCGAAGCTCACCCCGCTTCCACCGTCGAAGCCATACCAGTAGTTGGGCCATTGCTTCGCCCCCTTGGACATCCCGACACATTCCCGCTTTGGCCTCCAGCTGGTCGATGGTGAAGAGGATGTAGCCCCCTACGGTCAGCAGGCTGGTGGCGGTCTTAACCCCAGTCGCCTTCGTCCCCTCCAATGTCCATGTCCTGAAGCGGTCCTCTTCCTCGATGGTTCACGAGGTGATTCCGGCTGCATCCAATAGTGTCCAACTCCTTGGGGAAGCATGGGATCGCGAGGCTGACCTCCCTGCAGCTCCATCTTATAGGGCTTGACCCAGCGCCTGGTATACCTTCTCCCCCACAAGCTGCACGACCAGTGCCCTGCGCCTCCTCTGACAAAGTCGATGAGCCCATAGTGCCACCCTTCTCGTTGACACCGTCGTTCACCCTTCTCCCACGCAGCGTGGCGGGGGCCCTCCACCAAGGCGACCGCTGCCTCCGCTCGGTTTGCAGCATTGAGGAAGGCTTCCATTCGTTTTCCATGTGGGTCAGGCCCAATGCTCGCGCACAAGAGCCGCAGTTGACGACTCCCTTCCTGAAACCGATGCGCCCCAAGCTCCTGGCTGACCAGCTCAAAGTCCTTCACCTTGCGCATTCCGTGATGCCACTCCTCCACCTCATAGCGCGCCCATGGGATTTGGACCTCCTTCTGGAGCTGCCGGAACATCCGTTTCTCCTTCAGCTGCATCATGCTTTTCCGATCCACCTCGGAGGCCCACGAAAGGAGCACGGGCCAAAACGCTCCGAGTCCTCCAAGGCTTGCCGTACGGCCTCCCCGACATCCACTGCTTCTCCGTGACATACTCCCGGAACTCCTCGTCCGTGCACCGCGTGATGAAGTCGGAGTCGACGTTGTGGTAAGTCCTCCACCAGCCCGCGATGATGGTGCAGTTGTGCTTCATCTCAACCAAGTTGGCGAGCCTCACCAACAGACGTCCCGCTCGCACTCCGCTCTGCCTGCTCTGGAGCCCCGCCGAAGAGCCGGGCGCCACCCACAACAACCTGAAAGCCCCAGCGATGTCCTTCTTGCTCATCACCACAGGAAGGTTTGGGCACCTGACCTTGCGCCACAGGATTCTTCGTGCAATTTGCACGTGTGCCGGCTGGATGGCTGGGGGGTGTAAGAACTTGGTGGTGCCTTGGTTCACTCCCCGCTGATCGTGGACAATCCTCTTCTCTTCACTAATGGAACGATCAGGGCACATTTTGTCCACGGCCTCGAACGGTGAAGAGATGGCACTCCAAGCAGTCGTGGTCCGAGCTCACTCACAACCAGCACCCGGCGCTTGGCCACATCCTTCCCAATCTGCTTGAACACCTGAGCCACATTCCGTCAGGCATTAGGGTGAAGACGAGAAGGGACTCGATGCCGCGGGCCAACATAGCGTGCGGCCATGCCCCGTCGTCGAACATCTCGAGCGTAGTCCAGAAGTCTGGATGAAGTCTTCCCGTCAAGCTCCCGGCTATCCAACCCTTTCAAGTTGGCGAGGCCCGCCTCCTCCCGGACCTCCCAAAGACTGCAGGCGGCACCCTCTACTCCTTGTGCTTTACTCAACAAATCATTGCCGAGTTGGACGACCTTCACCCAATCCTCTCGCGTCCCGCCGAAGCCACCCTCCTGGAGCTGGTTGACATAGTTCCATGCCGCTTCTTTGGCCTCCGGGTTAGGGCTGCGGTAGTAGCTGCCGTGGTGTCCCTCTCCAGTCTGGTCCAGCGAACACTCCACTGATGGACACCTGATACGCCAGATCTGTCCGAGGCAAGGTTGGCTTGTTGGAACTGGTAGCAATGCCCAGGCCTCGTGATGGCATATCCAAGGCCTGCAAGGAGGCCTTCTGGTGTGCGGAAGTCGACTTTTCCAAGATCTTTGTGGGCTGCTTGCAGTGCTGCTCCGACCGGAGAGGAGCTGGGGCAGTGCTCTTCTGTGTGCCATTGGCCTCCCAGACAGCCTCGGCTTGCTTCATCTGTGAGCATGTCGAGGGGAACCTCTGTGTTTTGGAGCTAGCAGCTTCCCCAGGGTCGGAGTCAAGCTCCCAGAAGCCCTGGTCCTCCATCGGGTCACCTTCATCCTCCTGGATCTCCTCCTGCAGGGCGTAGTCCTCGTCCTCGACCTCGTCGAAGTTCTTGAGGAAGAAGCGGGTGTGCCCAGTCCACATGCCATAGCCGACCGCATCGACCCACTCCACATCTGCACGTGCCAGCACACGTTCCCACTCCGGAAGATTCCACTGCTTGGGGTAGCGCCCACTTGGTGCAGAAGATTCGGCCACCGGAAAGCCCCCTTCGTCCAGCATCGTCTCGAAGTAGATTGCTGAGAACCTGGAGAGCGTGTTGCCCTGCTCCTCAGTGCGTTGTAGTGGACCTGTATATTGGTGCCTTCAGGATGAGCCCATGTCCGGGTTCCCCCATTTTGGAGCTGCCAATCACAGTATGAGGTGCGCGGTGATGCGATCCACCCCACATTTGGACCGTCACTGGACCGTGTATAGGAGATCATGATCAGGTCGGGCTCCCTTTTTTGCATGCGGGTCCTCATAAAGCTCGACCGGGGGTCGGGCAGCGCCCGTCTTTGACCAACAGGCCGTAACCGCTCCCAACCCAGCAAAGATTTCCTGCAGCTCCGCCGAAGAAGCTGCATCTGAACTGCTGGGTCTAGGGCTTCAAAAGGTCCTTTAAGGGAGTCGTGGGATCGCTGGCAGCCCGTGGTATCGCACCCAATGCGGAGGTTGCCCCAACAAAGCAAGGTCCCGTTGCGGTCCAGCGGAGCTCTCTCCTTGGCACGCGTCACCTCCTCCGCAGTGAGTTTTGGCCCGCCTGTACTGGAGGTACTTGGCTGTATGCATTGTGCAAAGGCCCACCTTGGTAATGCCCTTTGGATAGTCCTCCCTCAGGAGCATCTTGAACTCTGCTCCTGGTTGGGGACAGGATCCATGGCCCAGCTGCTCTGCCCCTTCGGCGGTCTCCCAGCTGATGAGACCCGCCAGGCAGTTCACCTTGTCCTCCTCAGCCTCGGACTCAGAAGCATACTCGCGAGCTCGTTGGGCCAGCCGTTGAACCTCCGCTCCAGAGCCTCGAATCCAAGACCATATCTGAGCACTTGTAGCACGAGCCCCCGCTTCAGCCTGGGCATACTGAAAGCGCTCCGGATTGAAAGCCTTTACAACTCCATATTCCTGGACGTGGGTGCCTCCTTCTTCGGGACAAGCCAGGTGGCGACACAGGTGGAGTCGATCGGTGCGTCGAAGTTCACTCACCAGGGGAGGGTCGCCTGCACGTAGAGGCCGTGGGAGCGGATCGTCTGACCCTCCGAGCCCAGGCGAAACACCGCCCTGAGCCCCCCCTTCCGAACAGCCACCCAACGTTCACCAGACCCTGGCGGCTTGAACTGTCTCAAATGGCTGGTCTCCGGTGGGGAGCCAGTAGCAGGGCCCCACATCTCCACGTCATCGACCTCGGGCGCTCCTCCCAACCACTGCTGGACGTAGAAGGTGATGGTGCCAAAGGTCCTCAAGAATCGGCGAAGGAGCCATAGGATCGCCATGAGGAGGCCAACAAAGACAGTGACCACAGGATAACAGACCGCCCACATGTAGTGGGCAGCCAGGCATAAAAACAAGATCCCTCCCAGCTGGACCAACCTGCGGCAGCCATTGCGAACGTCCCCCCAGGCAGCGCCGAAGATCGTCCATCCTAGCAGGCTAACCAGAGCGTCTATGGCCCACCAAATGCCGTGGCTCCAAGGCGGGTACTCCGTCTCCACGAAGTACTGCCGGACAGTCTCTGCCCTTTGCTCTGCCTGTGTCAGGTGGTCCGCCGTCGTAGGAAAGGCCTCGTGAAGCCAGACACGCCAAGGCCCTAAGGCCGGGCCCTCCTCCTCCCTAGAGGAGTTGCCCCACCAACCATGGCCGTGCGCCAGCAGCGAAAAAAGCAAAATGCGCATGTGGCAGCACCGCCCCAACTTCCAAAAGTTGAGACCCTTGTGCCCCAGCTGTGCGGCGGACACACAGAAGTCTACGTTAGGACTAACATCCAATAATAGCATTTTTGGTCACTGGTGCATGGCTCTGGTAACTCCAGAGAATGGTCTGGGTGACATCACGTCCATAGAAGAAGGATACCGCCGGAGCATAGTTGTGCCAGAAATCGGCCCAACCTCTGCTTTCATCATCCTCGCAACTCACGTCCTTCTTCCGCCAGTTTGCTTCCAGTAGGCAGGACACGCTGAAGCCCTGATCTTTAGTCTTGTGCCAAGGCGAAGAAAGTGGACTCGTGCATCCACAAGTGTCACCGCACACCAGCCGCAACAACTGGGCTTCAGGCAAGTCACAAAACTCTACAAGCTCCTGACAACTGGCAGCCATTTGCCTGCCAAAGACCAGCCCCGCATTCCGCAGCAGGGTCTGCACCAATGGAGTCATGGTGGGATCTCCATGCAAGGTACCTGTCTCCTGCATGATGTCCTGAGCTCCAAAATGGCCTTGTGAAAGTGCTCATTCGTGCTCGGCACGACATGATGGTACTATTTACAAATAGACAATAGACTTGTAAATCAAAGGATGAGAAAGCAAGTATATATTCAATCCGAGTGTCTTTCTCCATGCACACGGGATACAGTGAAGCTTCCTCCGCCATGGATCGTGTACGGTCCAAATCAAAGACCTTGCGGCTATGTGAGAAGAAGATGTAGTCCGGGATGGGTCCTGTCAGGGGCCTCTTCTCGACTCAAGTCTATGGAGAGTGTAATTATCAGTGGGGAGTCCCTCCTAGAAACTGGAACCATGTTCTTCTCCCTAGTGGCTTCTTGTTACTACAGTAGTAGCGATGGCCTCCAACCTAATAGCCATGGCCTCCACCTTGTAGCGATGGAACCCTCAACAGGAAGCGGTCCAGGTACCATCTCAGGTGTTGTTCCGATATGCGACTTCACAGCCATCTCCGATGCCGACAAATTGCTTTCGAGTCCACGCGATTGCGCCGTGACAAGTCCAAAGGTGGTCTGGGTTTCTGGGTTGTAGGCAACCACAAAGGTCCGGTTACCGCCACACAGTTCTGTCTTCACGGCCAACATGTTGTTGGTCAGAGGGACAACCAAAAAACTGTAGGACAACAGCACGGTTATCGTAATCAACGTAAAATGCACCGCTGTCTCACGTTGGCTGCGACGGTGGCTGTAATTGACTTTGATGGGCTCGAGGCTTTTGATGGTATGTTGAATCTTGATGGGCGTCATGCCAATGAACAGGAACTCATCAACATCCAAAATGGCGTTCAATGCCACTGCATTTAACATGAGTTCTGTAATGGATGTCGTTCTGGCCAGCCACAAAATTCCAGCAACCAGCAGCACGGAAGCAATGGCTGTGCGAGCGATGTAAGTCATCAAGAGCATGCCAAAGCGGCAGCCAGACAGGGCCTTGAAGCAGCTGACCGGCCGACGGGGTTGATGAGCTCGGATGGTGGAGAGATGATCAGAGCTAAACCAGAGGCCCCAGCAACAAACAGAGATGCTCTCTTGAGTCATGAATGCACTGCAAGAAACAACATACCAGCATAAACTCCAAACTGTTTGAAACATGCATGGGGTGTGACGAAGCTGTCGATTTGCCATCAACCAGTGGACAAAAAAGTGACGCATCCATGTGAAGCAACGTAACCAGCAAACCACCTTCTCCAGAAACACTAGCCACCTGCGTTACAAACAGCCTGCAAGACAACCAGGCGCCATGCTAACACGATTTCTGGCTGCAGTGCGTTTCGCACGTCGTAGAGCCATCGTACCAGGTCGCATGCACTGGTGCCATAAAGCAGTCTAGTTGCAGCAGTCTAGTTGCTGTGGCATGTAAGTCTTGCAAAAACATTAAGGATGATGTTTCCATCCACTCTAGACTCTAGATGAAAGGTCCTTTGCACAGAACTCATTTATGTTTTGCACACGACAAATTTCTTGCACAGCAGAAGCACATGTGTTGCAGCAAATGGAACAAACACGTTGTCTGCAATCATATGTGAATGTCGTATGCGCTGCTGACACAAACTGTGACTTGCAGCAGTCTAGTTGCAGTGCTGGCGTCGAGGGTTTTCAAGAGCACAAAAGGTTTTATGTATGCGGACATTGTTGCGGCCCACTCTTCACCAGAGTAAGGACTCCTACAGTTCCTGTTTTGGAAAAAACAAACGACCATCATCAAATCGGTGACCCTACAAACAATTGCAACACCTTTCTGAAGTCATTTTGCAAAGCGCAACATTCACAACTTTTGTTATAGAGGTTGGGATGAAACGGTCCTTTCATATTTCCCAGCATGCAATAAAAAAGGTATATGTATGTCGTTTCAGCCTTGAGCTGGTTTTGCAGCCTTCCCACTTTAGACTCAGAATCAGCTTCAAAAATCACATATATATATATACTATACTACAGAAAATACATTATCGCCTGACCTAAGTTCATCACACATGTCCCTAAACCTTGACAGCCCATTCATGCATTGAACATCCGAATTGCCTTTCCCGTGTCACGCTTTCAAGTGCTGTACATGTTGCTTCTCTGCAACTTTGCATTGAACTCTAGAACAGTTCTGCAAAATTATAGGACCGGATAACCCCACATGTTAGCAACTTAGCAAGAGACAATGTCTGCGTAGGTGGTTGGTGACAAATGGTGGGCGGCAATTGGTTGGTGACAATTGGACGAGGAGGAGGAGGAAGGAGCGGATACCACACTAAAAACAAAAACCCCACACGTCAATGTGGGGAACAAAACTCTCCTTCTTCACGCCTTCTGCCACAGGTTCAAGCCAAGACACGTGAAAGCAGTGATTCTGCATCCTGCTCTTCTTGGCTCTTGGGATCTGCAGGGTGGCCTCGAAGGCCAGCCAAATGCGTCGCAGCTCCTGAGGGCGTGGCGTGAGTCGCAACCCTCCACCTCTTGGCCATGCCCCAAAAAAGGGGCACGGTCCAGTCATCTGTACCAAAACCTCTCTCACAAAACCCCATGAACCAACTTCGACAGAAAGGGTGCCCCTGCAACTGTGGCTTCCAGGGGCCCCCCTGCCTAGTGTTGTATTTCGTTGACCCTTCTTTTCGGTGGACGTCTGACACAAATGAGCAGGGACAGGCGACAGACGTGGCCAAAAGACTTGTGTCCTTACAGTAGATGAGAATCCCTTACACTTGTGCCAAAGGAATCTGCCAGTGTTGAATTTCATCACCAAAATAATGTTCGGGTTTGAATTTAGTTGTGCGAGGTCCTTGTACACGCAGAGGCACCACAGCAAAATGCAGAGCATGCACAGCAGCGTGCCCACCTGCAGGATCGGCAGTCTTAGTTCATCCTTGCCGAGGCCCAAGAAGGCGTTGATCTCTTCCACCAGAGTCGACTCGGTGCCGCCAAGGCAGCCAGCACGGCAGCCAGGAAAAAATGGGTCTGAGTCCATACTAAAGACCCCAAACACTCGTGTCATGCACTTGAACTGTCAGAAGATCAAGAAAAAGAGGTCACCATGCTAGGTGTGTCTTTAAGTATGTCCCGGCGTGTCCGTAGCAAAATGCAGAGGTTGCTTCAAAAAAACAATGATATACTTAAGAGAACGTCCATCCAGCTGCTCACATATGGCTCACATTGTTTCACTCACTTCAAGAAACTCGGATCCGAGATTCTGATTGGATTGCAAACCATCTAACACGGTGCAGGGAGTACAGTGGGTCGACTCGGGTGATGGATGGACCATATATTCCAATCGATGGGAGCCAGTGAAGGGTTGAAATGAGAGGAAAATGAAAGCTACAGATGCTCGGAAGCAAGACAATCTTCCAGTGGTTGTTTGATGTTGTTTGCAGTATGGTACGACAGCAAATGGCAATGACGATGTTTGCGCTGAACAAGAAGAAGAACTGTAGCACTCACAGAAAAGCACCTGCGTTCTCCTTGTTTCCTCAACTCGTGCGATCTGACGCTCTCTGTGGATGGGTCCAAGATCAATCCGGACCATGCCAAAGCAAGCCGCCTGCTTCTGAGAATAGATCAGCGCACCATCCAGATCGCAAACGCGCGTCACCAGGCTGGCCCCCGCCAAATCCAGGAAGCTATAGTCATGGGCCACACTAGTGCGCCAAATCTGCAGATGACAAAAAACAAACACCAAAAATCCGGCAAAGAATCCACTTAGCTGCTTCGCAATCATGGAAACTGCCAGACATGACAAGGATTGTCTGCGCCGGTGGTGATTTCTCCTAGTTTCTGATTTTTGTGCATAGAACTCCCGGGCCTAGCCTAGGCATAGGCCTATCCTAGGCCCCCCAGGCCAATCCGCAGTCTTTCCTTACTCGCTGTCTTTTTTGTCACCATCCTTTCCTGTCCTTTTCCTTCGCGCTCTGTCTCTCTCTCTCTCTCTCTCTCTATCACCTCTTTCGAGAAGGAGAGAGCGGGAGAGAGAGGAAACGGGAGAGAAAAGAGGGAGACAAAAGGAGAGACCGGAAGTAAGCGGTAGGAAGGAAAAGGGAAAGAGAGGAAGAGCGAGGCAGAGGGAGCGAGGAAATGGAAGAGGGAGAGATGCCTCGTCCTTGCCCTCCGCCTCCCTCCCTTTTTGAGCGGATTCCTGCCTCTCCCTCCCAGCTTCTTTCCCTGTCTGTCCCGCGACCTGTCTCCTTTCCGTTTTGTGTCCTGTCTCGCCTCCTGTTCTTCATCCCGCCTCCCTCCCTCTCCTTCCCTGTGAGTCGCTGCCTCTCCGTCCATCCTCCTCTCCCTCCCACCGCCTCTGTCTCCCGTCTGCGTCCCTCTTCCCTCCCTTTCTCCTGCTGCGTTTCTGTTTCTTGTGTGTTTTCTCTGTCATTGCTGAAAGTTCGGCGAAGGAAGAAAACCGCGCGAAAGGGGCGGAAATGGCCAAGCCGGCACTTTCGGGTGGGACCACTCCCTTCCATATATTCCTTTTCCTGCCTCTTCCTACCTCTCTCTTCCTCCCTCGCTTTCCCGACCGCTGTCTCCCTCTCCTTCGTTCTCGCTCCATGTCCCTCCGTCGTCCCGTTGATCCGGCGGCCTTTCTGTTTCTGGCGCCCTCACCCGACCGTGTCCGAAAGTCCGGCGAAGGAAGAACACCTCGCGAAAGTGCCGGAAATGGTAAAGCCGGCACTTTCGGGTGGCACCTTTCCCTTCCTCTTCTTCGTCCCTGTCTGTCCCTACCCCTTTCGGAGAGAGAGGAAGCGGAGGGATAGACTGAGGTCTGTCCAGGGCCTCTGCCTAGCGCTGCCCATAGGTCTCCCTGTCCTAGGGCTATGCCTAGCCGACCCACAGGCCAACTTGAGAAAACTTGGGCCGGACTAGTCCACTCTGCCAGCTAACATGATGGTTGACCCCCGCCGGTTGCGAGCGCGGAGGCCACCCCCAGAAATAGGGGTTTCCCGTCGATGGTCTCAATTAAACCAATTCGTGGCATGGGGCCACGGGGGAAGGAACCCGCAGGCCTATCCAAACACGATTGTGAACAAAGACGGTGGGTAGACTGTCTTTCCAGCTTGTACTAAGCGCACCTACCAGCGGCCGACCCTGTCGCGAAAAAATGACACGAAGAGACAGACGGTCGTAGAAGCTGATAGACTAAAGAGCGTTCGAGACGGTCGTAGAAGCTGACTAGTAGCAAAGAGGCTTACGAGACTGTCTATTAAAGAAGTGTGTACACTGCCTTTGATCTTCTACGAAGTCACCCGGAAACCCTCTTGCATCCTGGAAAAGGGCGGACAACGCCAGCGATAGACCTGGGAGACAAATGAATAGAAATGCTACATGGCCAGCAGAAAGGGGTGGACACCACCAGTGACAGGCCTGGGAGACAAATGAATAGAAATGCTGCATGGCCAGCGGAAAAAGGCGGACACCAGCAGTGACAGACCTGGGAGACAAATGAGTAGAAATGTTGCATCGCCAGCGGAAAGGGGCAGGCACCAGCAGTGACAGACCTGGGAGGCAAATGCATAGAAATGTTGCATGGCCAACAGAAAAGGGCGGGCATCACCAATGACAGACCTGGGAGGCAAATGAATAGAAATGCTACATGGCCAGCAGAAAAGGGCGGACACCAGACCTGGGAGACAAACGAATAGAAGTGCTACATTACATGGCCAGCGGACAGCAGCAGTGACAGACCTGTTACGTGCCCAGCGGAAAAGGGCGGACACCAGCAGTGACAGCCGGAGACAAATGAATAGAAATGCTGCATGGCCAGCGGAAAAGGGCGGACACCACCAGTGACAGACCTGGGAGACAAATGAATATAGATGTCGTATCGCCAGTGAAAAAGGGCGGGCACCAGCAGTGACAGACCTGGGAGACAAATGAATCGAAATGCTGCATGGCCAGCGGAAAAGGGCTGACACCAAGACCTGGGAGATAAATGAATAGAAATGCTACATGGCCAGTGGAAATGGGCGGACATGAGCAGTGACACAAAGGACATCTTAAGAAAGAATTGAGAACCCCTAACAGTAAACTGTTTGGGGGAAAAGTGGGAGACAAATGCAAGGAAGTGGGAGACAAGCCGGCCGGAAACCCGACTACAAGCGCCCAGCCTGTGGAGACAAATGAAAAAAAGTTGGAGACACATGAAAGGAAGTGGGAGACAAGCCAGCCAGGAACCCGACCACAAGCACCCAGCTTGGAAAAGAACTGGGAGACAAATGAAAGGAAGTGGGAGACAAGCCAGCCGGGAACCCGACCACAAGCACCCAGCCTGGGAGACAAAT